ATGCTAAATGTACGGAACTGAATGCTGTGAAGAAACCAGCCACAGAGCCTATTTCTCATACAATGCATACAATACACAGAATAATGCATACAATACACAGAATAATTGCATATACAGAAATAAAATCTAAACGAACTTAACAAGGTATGGAAACAGAGTACAATAGATGGCTATCAGTAAATAAGCACAAACAAAAATTTACAGGAAGATGAAATTAAATAAGTATAAAAAAATTATAATAATGATGATAAAGTAATAAAAAGAAGTAAATATAATAGAATAAAAGTTAAATGCACAGTGAAAAACTAGAACAGGTTTAAAAATTTGGGTGTACTAGAGGCTGGCTAAGTACCGTGCAGCTAAGTTCAAATTGTAAACAAAAGCACGTGCAAGACTTATAGCAACTGCACTCTACTATGCGCGCATGCGCTAGAAAAGCTTGACAAGGAGTTGTGTCCGACAAGTTCAAAAGGCGACCTGTCCTGCTGGACCGACCCTCCACCGCGCTGTGTCGTAAAAATGAGCCGGGTGAGGATACCGGGGAAAGAACAAGGTCACACAGGAAAATTGCAATTAAATCTTACGGCACTCAGTCACTAATTAAGCTAGCAGGACGAATGATACACTAAAAGAAAGGTAATCTAAAAGCCTACCTTATCGTCTAGGAATGGTGTCGATATTCCCAATTAGACCGGAGATAAGGGCAGATTAATCCAGAAGTATGGCACTTTTATGTCGCACAATAAAAACACTGTAATAAATCGCACAAACACTTCACAATCACAGCACTGGTATCAATGAAGAGATCATATCTTCCACTTTCCAAAGGTACTAGGATTGAAATTGGATGCCTGTAGGTGCCAGAGAAATCTTAATAGATGTAAACACCACAAAACGGCACTTCACGGGGTCACGGTAACCCTCAGCAGATATCACGAGGTCGCGATACGAACAATGACTTCTGCTTTAAAGACTTAATTAATCCACCACTAATAAACGGAATCGCTCCAGATGCATATCAAATTGCTCAGCTTTTGAAGAACTTTAAATTGATATAACTCTTGTGTAAACTATATCAAAACTAACTTAAAATAATAAGGCGAAAAGCGAGCTCGCGAAAACACGTCGTACAGCATTGATGCCGCGTCCGGACTCGACTGTAATTATGTTCAGAAAGTCTGCAGCTTTCATGGTCAGTTCTACCACAACTAAAGAGTCTCAGAGCCACCCATGAGCACCCAAAGCATAGTACCGTTAGCCTGTGTATGACCTGCTGTACATGGGGAAGCAACCATTCACCTGGAACCTGACCCGATCAGTGACGTAATGAATAAGAAATTGTGATTCCTCCGACCAGGCAACTGTCTTCCTCTTATCCACGGGCCAGTCTCGATGTTCCCAAGTCCACTGTAGGCGTAGATAATGTAGCTTGGTCAACAGACACACAAGTGGGACGTCTGCTGCATAGACCCATATCCCCACTGAACAGTGAATAAGCCCAACTGAACACTGAACTTGTGTGTTCCAAAACACTTGCACTTGAACCTGCATTATACTGGGCTGTCAGCTCAGCCACTGTCTGCTGCCAGTTTTGCTGTACCAAGCAAGACAGTCTTCGACGTAATTATTCTTTGATGACATATGGACATCCAACACCTTGGCATCTATTGCTGGTTCCACTATCATTTATCTATAAATACTAACAGCCACAGATTGCAAACAACCTACCAGCCATGCAGTTTTGGAGATACACACTCCAAGTCTTCAGGCCATGACAATCTGCCCTCTATCAAATTTATTAAGATCAGCAGCCTTTCCCATCACTCGCAAAAGTAAGAACAAGAATGATTCTTTACCTTCTTCAGTAGCAGTTATATACTATTCCCACTTAATCAATGTACCCTCCACATCATCCAAGCAAGTTCATTGAAAAATGCGGATATGGTCATAAAGTTTTGCCTTTTTATCGTGTATATATCAATGAGCTCATCTTTTGGAATGACTTTAAAAAAAGGATATTTTAGAGAAATTTTCTCATAAGGTTGGCTTGAAAGTGAATTAAGGAAATTACCTTTAAAAACTACTTTTCACCCATTATCATTCAAATTTAATAACGGTATTATTTATAAATTTCACATTTATTCACAGCTATTTCATAAATATGAATATTATAAATCTTTATTAAAACTAAGAAGAAACTGGGGCATACTTCAAACAGATGCATCTGCTCACAAAGTCTTTCGTTTTAGCTTTTAAGCTCATTTTTACCCAAACTGGTATGCTTTCATGGATGACTGAAATTTTGAGTATGCAGTTCCAGATGTTTACACTTGTACATGAATAATCTTAACATACACAAGAAAGAAGCCTTATCATTGTAAAGTACACATAAAAAAAATAAATTAGTATTTTTCAGTAAAAACTGCACACATATATTTTACAACTAACTGCTAATTCATAAACACTTAACACTACTTAAATCTCTCTAAAAATTAATTTGATATGCATAAGTTAATTTTCATTACTTGCTATTTTTTCATTATATTTAAAATTATCCAGCATGCTCTTTAGGATCTAGTACTATGCTAATACTCATATATACTTCATTTCTCAACAGAGTTAAATTTCCATTGTGGTAACTAATTTCTCTTTGCGTTTTACTAGCTTAAAATGAAATTTAGGGGTAAAATTTTAATATTTTTCAATAAAAATTAACATTATAACAATTAATAAACTTTAAAAAATATATTGAATGTTTATACTGATCAGCAAAAGACATACGGTGCACAATTACATATCTTTTATACATAACAAATAAAATGTTATTAAAACATTTAGAGCAGCATTTCCCAAATTTTAGCCTTATAAACTGTACGCAATCACAATTTATCACAACTCATATGCATATGGTTGCACATTAAAAAGAGGGGGGGAAAGAAATTACTAAAAGAAAATAATATAATACTGAAATAATAATAAGCATATATATATAACTATTAATAAGTGATAATTTTAAATTAATATGTAATTATAGTTAGATGCAGACCATATTCACAAAAACACTCATGGCACTCATTTTGGCAACCAGTGGTTGCATACATATACTCCCAGTTGTAAAAATGCTTTAAAGAAGGAAAATATTCACATTATGGCATTATTAATTTAAGGAATCAGATTTGTAACAATTCAACTTTTTATGTGGTTTCCTTATATCTATGTTTAATTAAAATTTACACTCATTCCAAAAAAAATAAAACACAAAAAGACTGATTCTCATATGACAAAAAATAACTAAGGTATTTATTTTATAGTTTGAGGTAATGTTCAAGAGCTATACACAAATTATTTAAATTTTTTTTAAGCAAATCTCCAGAGAAAACCGAAAAAGATGGTAAAAGGTCCAAATTGTGAAATCAAATATCTTGAAATTAGGTTTCATAAATTTTTATGAAATTGATGAATTCAAAATACCAAAACATGAATGTTTGCATCATTTTAAACACTTCTAGTCATTGGATGCATACATCTATAACCAATAATTCTAAAAATAAAGGCCAAATAAGGATTTTTTATCAGGGTTGCCACTCAAATAGGAAAATGAAATTCCCTGACTTTTCCAGGTTCTCCAGGTGTGTTTTAAGAAAATTCCAGTCTATCTGCATAATGCACATTGGCTGTGCTAAGAGGTAAATTAATTATGGTACCACTTGAAAACACAAAAATTTGACAATTACATATAACATATATATATATCACATATGACTTATAATACATAATCCCCAAAGCATTACTATTATAACTATAATAGGAGTTGTTTTCTCCACTGAAGATTCAGATTGGAATCTGCCCAATCTGGATTAAAAAATGTCTTTTTTTGCAGACATTTTTTAGCTAAACGAAAGAAAAATCTATTTAATGATATTTTTAAATAAATTCCGGTATTTTATATTTATTTAGTAGCATGCATAAGCAAAACATATATGCATTAAATTTCGTGATGGTATGTCATCATACTGCTAGAATTAATGGCAGGATTATGCAGAGAAACTTTCCTGAAATTTGAAGGTTTTATTTACTAATAAATAATAAATAACTTTAGAGAGAAGAAGCAACCTTAAATGGCATAAATAAGATTAAAATAAAGCTAATTATTTAAAAATTGAATTGGAATAATCAACGATATTTTGGCGAATATATTTACATTAAATGGTTAGCCTAGGTGACTATTTACTATTTTTTTATTTTACTGCAAAATGACAAATAAGGCATTTATTAGAAAAAAGGGAGGGTTAAAAAGATTTTGCGGTAAAATCCTAGTATGTGCTACAACCTTGATGGCTCATTTACTGCTCATCATAATATCCCCAAATCCCGTGTGTACGGTTCATGGAGGCTATTCTAACCTCCATGTTGCCCTATACTAGGATTAAACTGATTTTATTTTATACGAGAATACGTATTTTCCTTAGTTCAACATGCACTGCATATGTGCATGGGAGTCTCTCGATACTCGAGGTTACTGGAAACCAAAAGTTGCTGGAAACTTGTTTGCCTTTCTCTCAAGATGATCTGATTGGAGCAGTGAAAATTGGCTCTATGCCAGCTGACCGAATGATGCTCACGTGATACATAATTCGCCTAGAAAGTGATCGGTTCCAACGTCGGCGCAAAACTCGCTTTTTTGGGGGGAATATCGGTATGAAATTCCCTGACGTTTCCAGATTTTAACTAAAATATTTAAATTCTCTGACTTTTTCCTGAATTTTTTGGTCAATTTCAAAATTCCCTGACTTTTTACGTTTTTTCCGGTAGTGTGGCAACCCTGTTTTATAGGCACAATATATATAATTACGCAATAAGGACAATATTTCAAAACTTTTCACTGCCTAAGAAAAATTATCTCCTGACTCACACTTTGGCAACTACTGCTCTAGGCATTGCGGCATAAGAATAGATTAATTTTTGGCTCTTGGTAATTAAATATATAACTATTTACTTACCTTACAGGTAGCAGAATACAGTAACGCAAAATGCAACCAACACCCCATAAAATGGACAGCCTAAAACTATAAAATATACGTTGTTAGTGTATAACCCATACCTTAGAAGAAAATATAATTTAGCTTTCTTTATAATATACATAACTACAGTCAAAAGTTGTTAATCCGGACTCGTCGGGACTTCGGCGATTCTAGATTATCGATTTTTCCGGATTATAGACAGTTTAAATCTCGTAAGATGGCATGCAGAAATTCTAAAATTAAAAATATGAAACTGTAATTTATGAAATAAAGAACAATTATGATCTAAGGGTATCAAAATTTACAAAAACAAAAAAAAGCTTAATATTTATTTGTTTACTTTATTAAACATTTCTTTCAATGTAAGTTGTTTAAGTTGCTTCGTTTTATCTGATAATACTTTCTCTTTAATTCTATAAACAGACATAATTTCTTGTTCAGTTACAAAGTTCCGCTGTTCAAGTCCCGTAATTGCTGTGAGAATACCGACTAACTTGTCAATCGAAATCTTTTTGTTTTCACTAACCTCTCTGTCACCTTCTTCATGTCTTTATCCATTTTTTGCAGCAATTCCACTTTTTGTTTGATGGACATCCAAACATACTTTTGTTTTAAAGATCGTTTGGGAGCTCCAGCATCGGAAATTCTATTTGACATAATCGAAAGTTCAAGTTTACTTTGATAAAATTGCTCTTACAATCTGCAAAAAATAATAAACCGGATCCAATTCGAAGATTAAGGAACAACGCAATCATCAACATTAACTGAAATAGATAATAAGATAATTTTAGCTTATACCGTCCGTTATACATAAAACGCGCACACGAAAATGTATTCTGCACTTGCGCGCACGCATATGCGCAGTCGTAAAGGTCTTTCGCGCACGCATAAACGCCTATGCGCATGTGTCAACGCAGCGCATGCGCAGAAAGTTTTTAGCCTTGAGGTCCGGATTATGGGTGTCCGAATTAACGACTTTTGACTGTATTAATAATGCCTTATGTAACAAATCAATGTATTATAATGCTAAAGGAAGCAATTAGTTTTAAATGGCATATTCTTAAATATTAAGTTGCAGTTTATTTTGATTATTGCTTTTGCTACTGCTTTGAATACTAAAGAATTTAAAAACTTTTTTTTTTATTTTTTTTAAATTTTTTTTAATTTGCAAAACTCAAAGGCTTTAAAACAAACTACATTCATATATCAAAAATGAAAGAAAAAACACTCTGCCACAAGTAAATAACTTCTAATTGAATAAATCAAAACAATGAAAATAACTGAAAATATACCTCACAAAACCATAATTTTTGTTAGTTCTTGTCAACAGATTCCAAGATGGTAACTCTGAAATTGTAAACAAATCTTCATGAGAATTTGAAGATTAAAAAATAAAATAGAGAAAAAAATTAAATACATTAAAATAGTGAGTGTACTAACTGCTAAAATACAGTTAAACTTCAGTTCAGGAATTTAATTAATTTCTAAAGGCCGAAATGTTCGTAAAGGAAAACCATATTTTTTCTACAGGAATCAATGTGCAATGGATTAATTTCTGAACTAATCTACTTCTGAGCCACAGATGATCACTTATTTAAAATTTACAACAGCACTTTTCACCCAAGTTCATGAAACAAAAATTATGCAAATCATTAAATTTAAGACTAAAAAAAGGTAAACACAATATTAAATGGATAAAATACAGAAAAATGTAATCCTACCATGCCCATACAAAGCAGCATGGATGGCATAAATGGAAAGTGCCATCCACACTGAGGAAGAAATTTTATAACTTGAATGAGAATTTCCTTTCATAAAAAAATCCGGTAACTGTCTTTCTGGGAGATATTCTTTTATCCTTTCTCTGTCTCTAAGCACCAACTCTGCTCAAGATTTGCAGTTTCCATATTTCTCAAAATTGATTTGCTGTTGTCTACATTTCAAATGCTTCAGTAAAACATGGTATCATTGAAAATGCTTGTGCTGTAGCTTTTATTAGGGTGATATCATTATATGAAACTTTTTAACTTATCCCATTTTACACAAATTTTGCAATTCAAAGAACTAACCTTCTTAAGTTCACCTTCTCTTTGTTTGCCTTCCTCCCCAACTGCCTTTTGATTCTGCTTTTGAAGGTGTTTCACTACTTGTCGAACAAATTTTATAGCGCTCTAATAATACCTCCCCATCATCAACTTCCAAGCTCATGGTTTTGCTGATAGACACAATACCAATACAGGAAAAAAAAAGTTAAAGCATTCAAAATCTCTGCCTCCAAAACAATCTGGCCATAATTTTCTCTAGGCTGAATTCATAGTACTGTAAGGTCACTTTTTGCCAGGCTTTTTAAGTGAGAGTTAAGCAATGGAAAATATTAAAATAATTAAGTCCCTGATTGTTAATTCTGTGTCACACAAACAGGCATATAATTATGCCATTACAGCCTTTTATTGTTGATAATGGCACCATTTTTGACTAAATGAATTACAGTCTGAAAATGACTAAGTATATTGAAAATACAAATGATGCTAACTATTTTATGTTAATAGCCAACTGTTATAGCTACACCACACAGTAAAAACCCTTTCTTATACATGAAAGATATATCACAAACATGGCTTGGTTTATGTGATTACAGCAAAGCCTCGAGGGCTATCAGCCTAAAGCAAAGGATGCCTTTGTCGAAGACTTTCTATGGGAAATTGGCTCATATACATGCTACGCATGGGGAAAGCCATGAAAATATCCATGCAGCCAGCCAATTTGTGTGATCTGAACCTCAGACTGAACTACCAGTGTTCAGTGACTTTACCACTTGGCCACTGGTGTGCATAGCATATGCATGTTAACAAAACTTACATCAAAAGGTTGGATAGCAAATTTAGGCAAAGCAGTCAAGAAAAGGAATACTTAAGGAGAAATACCCAAAAGAAGAACACAAGAGGAATAGTCAAAAACCCTATACAGCAGTTCTGTTAAACCACTAAGAATAAACCCAGGATAAACTACCAGTACTTTAAAGCTGGTTGATTGCTACATAACAGGAAAATTTTTAAATATTTATATGCAAATTTTCTAAGAGGTTGTGTGAATATAAATAACGAGTACGAAAAACCTCAGAATTTCATACTTTTTGTTCACTTATTCATGGATAAAATTCTTGAACTGTTTTAGTGCACTGAAACATAGCCAGAGCAGTGGTGCAAATGGAAGCATGCTGCTGCTGTCCTCTAAAGGCCTAAAGTAAGGCCATAGAGGCTCTTAGGTGTCTCATTGAACTATATTTATATGTTTAAACTTTAAAAAGAAAAATGGCTTCTAAAAATGTGTATACGATGTAAACAGCAGGCCTTTGAAAATGCAGAAAAGAGCTGTACCACTGTATTATCTGCATGAAACATTTAAAAGTAAGCAAATTCGACTACAAAGAAGCTGCATATTTTTGTTTTGATTTGCTGTCAGATGAACACTTTTAAATCATTAGTGATAGCAGGTGATAAACTAAACTCAGTGATAAATTAAACTCAGTGTTGGCAGCTCTTTGAGATGCATAGAAGTCACCTTCCAAATCACAAAGAAATTAAAGATAATAGACAACAATCAACTATTTTGAATTAACAAGGCTTGTTTTCCTGAAAAATGAAGAGATCCAACAAGATTATTTTTAAACAGTGAATGATTCATATTCACATAATATTTTAAGAGCTTCAGAAACTCTCCTCACATTGTGTAAGACCAGAAGAATATAACCTAGAAGCTTCTCATAAAGAGCGGAGTTTTTATGAAGCTTTCAATAAATGCTGTGTTTTAAGTAGTTTTTTTATATGCATTGGTATTAGGGATGTTTTACAAATGTATATCCAAGTGCCTAATCTAAGCAAACTTTTCAAATTGTTGCCACCAAATATTACTGCCCTGTATTTAAAAATAGCATGCAAAAAATACCATACCCTTATTTCCATAAAATTATACATATATTTTTGAAAGCATGCCGCTCGGGTACTCACCAATAAAAGATTAAAACCACTTAAATAGTTTAATTTTTGATTTGTTTCACGAATGTCATGCGATTTTTCTATATTTTACATAATAAAATTAGTATGTTTTAAAGTATAAATTAGTTTGTTTTAAAGCATTCTTAACAAAACACTTTTCAAGGCAGTTGATTACACGTTCTAATTTCACAAATAATGCACTAGTTATATTTGTTGCACGTGTAGGTTAAAAAAAGCATTTTCATTGTAAAGAACAACTTCCCTCATGCAACTGATTAGAATTTTAATCAGCGCAAATTAATAATAAAAACACTCGTGTGCAAAACTGAGAGAATTGGTAAATTATGTCTGTATTTACAAAAATTATTGAATCAAAGGTACGAATTGCACCGCCAAAGAAGTACACTAATACTCATAGTTATACATAAAACATACACATGCATGTCTGCGAAGCTATGATTGTGGAAGCGATATAAGCATATGAGGAGTTTTAGGCGATTTGAGTGCTCACACTTTATAACATACATTGTGTTTCTCGTAAAGAGTCCGGTAAATTTTATAATGTACTCAGTAGCCACGAACCTATGGATGACGGAATGAGATGGAGAACTGGAGACAAGCCAATCATAAGCGCAGGTGACTATAGAGCTCAATGTAATGTTAACTGTCATCTGAAATTTATGGAAACAGTTTCAGGACACTTTATTCATATTAAGAAGACATTAACAAGGTTGACCAAGATCCACAATAATGAATGAGAATCAATATTTTGAACTTTCTGCGTGGCAACATAGGGCTGCTACAGCTTCACAGCTCTCATGAGAGTTGTATGCTGTCACTGGAACCCTGAGTTTCATCATCTACAGTTCCTCAAAAGCTTTATGAGATGGGCTTCATTAAAAAAAGGGATCATTGCAGTAGTAGAAGTGTAATGGTTTGGGCAGGCATTATGTTCGATGGCTAAACATAACTGCATGCAAAGGCTCCCTGACTGCTATGAGGTATAGAAACCTATAGACCTAAGTTCAGCTTTTCATGCGTGCAGCTAGAGCTGGATTCTAGTTCATAGAGAACAAAGCTCTTCCCCATAAGACTCCGCTGGTGGACGATTAATAGATATTTGCTGCATAATTGGCCTCTGTGAAGATATTCACTGCATGGATTGCTCAGCCAGATCGCCTGATTTTAATCCTATAGAACATGTCTGGGACATTCTTGGAGGAAAATTATGGCTGTGAGAGGGGATCATATCTCATATCAAACTCTTTCCAGTTCACTATTACAAAGTAGATTTTTGATATTCCTGTGCTCTGAGCTTTACTGATAATCATGCATACATAAAATGACTTTTGAATGGTACACCTTTTCAACTGTTATAAATGTATGTTCATACCAAATTTCATTAAAATCAGTTCATTAGTTTCTCAGAAATTTGACATAATGTGCAAATTCTCTTAATTTTGAAAGTTTCAAAAACCAAAAATAAAATGAAAATTTCTATGGAGGAGTGAAGTTTTATGTCAAGTTTAATTTTCAGGTGGATGTATTTACTTAAATCAATTGAGATACTAAAATATGCAGATATTCAGTTATTTTTTCTTAAATTCTCATGCAGTGTAAATATGCATATTATTTAAATAATTATTAACATATGTAATTACTAATGCACTGCTTAACTTCTACTTAAAACATTCTGCAGCTATGCCTCATTTGTCTCTTTTTTATCAATATTTAAAATAAAATTATTCTTAAGACTGAAAACACTTCATAAACTTTTTAATGATTTTGGTGCATCTATCAATTGTAAATATTTGTATTCTTCTTCTTCTTCTTCTTCTTTTTTTTTTTTTTTTTTTTTTTTTTTTTTTTGTTCAGATCTATGATAATATGTAATCTTTGCTTTTGTTATTCCTCTTATTTTATATTCCTTTTTAACTCATTTTCTCTGATGCTGCATTTTCAGAACATTTAAAAAAAATCAAATTACATAATGTCCACTACCACTGATATACAAATTTTGCATGGTTTGATAATTTACAGTTCAAAATAAGTTGCTGAAAAAAAACTGGAGGTTGTATTAAGTAATAGGAATATATTTTATAAACTTTTTAATCTATTTAAGTTTTTTTATATTAGCTTTAGCTATAATTTTTAAGATATAATTTTCTAAAGCTATATTAGCCAAAATCATCTCGAGTTGCTGGTTCCCCCACGCGAAAAAGGCCTCCAGTGCAAAGGGTTAATGCAATACAAACATGAACCACTGTAAAATAATAAATGGATGTTACATCACAAAGCCATCTTATACTACTAAATGTGTTTTTCCATAGTACAGTACAAAGTCTGTAATCC